TCTCTCTCTCTCTCTCTCTCTCTCTCTCTCTCTTTCTCTTTTTACACTGACTCGTAAAAGCGTTTTACGAGTGCATTTTAAAATTTCTGTATAAAAAAGATTTTACAATAAAACAGAAATTGCTATAGAAATATGATAAATATAATATTTCTACAATGATTTGTCAATAAAATCAATGCAGGCATTTTTCGAGAAAGTTTTTTCGCGAATCGTCTGATTCTTCCAGATAAAATCTTGCATGAAAGGTGACGATACATCGCGAGCAAAAATCTCGCGTAATTACAAAAACGTGGAGGACGTGAAGATACGCGTTAAAAGATCTGTACGTCGGCATCGAGCAGCTACGAGGAACGAAAAGATAAACCGAATAAGCGACGGCTCGACGTTTAAGTCAAACGTAAAGAGAGAACTGAAGAGACTGAGGAGATTCGTGAAAAGGAAGTTGAACGATTACGAGAGTAGATCGCTGTTAAACATCAGAGGATTATCCGGCGAGAGAACCGGCGATGTCTCGACCCAGCCCGAAGAAAACATGCAGAGCAAATTGCAAGAGTTCAAGAATCGTCTCGCTCGTATCAGAGATCTAATAACCTCGAGCGACACGAGGATCGAATTGAGAAAGCCGATTGCCGACCTCGTCACGGACGCGATCTCTTTGATGATGAAGATACAGAACACTCTGAAAGCCATCAAGAAGCAAACCGACCAGGAAAATAGGAAAAGATCGTCCGACAGTGTCAGAGAGTCCCTGAACACCTTGTACGAGCGTTTAGCTCGCGGTAACTTGGACGAGCCGATCGACTCTGAAAAGAGACGGACGAACCAAGACTCTAAAAGGACCAGGAGAGATCTACTCGCGGAGATCGAGGGATCTACGGCCTTGAAAAGGGACAGTCATTTACGAAGCGGCAGAGATCGTAAAAGCGACCCGAGGTTTGCGTGGCCGAGAGAAAACACGTACTTGAAAAAACACGTACAACCGAGCGTCGTGGAGTTCGAAAGCAACGACAGCGGAGGAAACACGTTTCGCGAGCTTTTCAAAGGAAATCCGGTGGAAGATTTTTCGGAGGACGATGCGTTCTACGAACACTCCCCTCGAAACAGAGGCTACGATTACGTGTTCGTTGAAGATTCTCCTTTGCGCCGTGATTACTCGAAGAACGACGAATTGAAAATCCGGAGGAAACTTTCAAAGATGGATTATGATATCGTGAACGATCGTCCGTGGACTGGCTACGAAAACACTTACGATTATCCCTTGTACGAGCCCGCAGATCTCGTTGATAGTTTAACGCCTTATCGGAAAGATCCGATGGAACTAAATTCGAAAGAGTCTGGCGAAGTGTGGGAAGAACAAATTTACAATCCTCGGGTAATCAATGGATTCGGCAATGAGAAAGGATTTGACGTTGTGAATTTGGGAATGACTGGATCAAGTGGAGATCACGAAATTGATAAAGGCAGGCCGGAAGAATTAAATGATTATTACGAACTCGGTGACATTCTACGGAATCACAGGCCTTACGTACACAACCCTTTGATCGAACCTGATGCGTTTGCCAGAGGAACCTATAGATCTCGGGGAAATGACAGACTTGGTAATGAGAAGGAATTGAAATTCGTAGGGATTCGGTCGAACGAAGATCACAAAGTCCAAGACGATAACGGTGGATTAAGAGGAGCGAACGATTACCGCGAATCCAGTAATCTTCCTAAAAATCATAGACCCATATACAGCCCTTTGATCGAACCTGACGCGTCCGTTCTTCGATATATATTGACTAGACAGCCATCGAACGAAAGGAAGGATTATTATGCAAATAAAAAATCTCTCCCTGATTACTATCCAAGTTCTATTATAAAAGGACCGGATTTCTCGATCGGATCTGCTTCTCGTGGAAATACGAGATCCAAGAGAAGGGACGAAGATCTGCACGCGATGTTCGACGAAGAGATGATCAACGAGGACGACGCGAACTCGAGGGACTGCAAGTGCAGAGTGGTTAGAAATTCGAGAAGCTGCGGCTGCCGATCGAAGAGAGACGCTGTTGAATCTTTGAAATCTCTGGAGTCTGAGGTTGATCAAATTCCAGTTGTAGGGCAACTGAGCAAGGACATAGTTAAATCGAACATACGCGAACATACAGACGTTGAGATATTTTCAGAATTCAACGAGCACCCGTTCGAGAAAGAATCTTCGAGTCCGGAAATTAATCGAGACGCGAAGGATCGTCCCCGCGACGATGCGAATGTACGAGAATCTTCTTCAGAAGTCAACGGTTCGTACCTGAATCCGGATCTGCTCGTTCGAGAGGAGCCTTTAACCACTGGCGAAGCGTGCGAGGAAACGTTTGCAACATTGATGACACGGGATCCTTACGAGAAAATGGAATCACAAACTGAATCCTCAAACGCGAAAATCAGCGACGCGAGGACGTCGTTGGATGCTGAACCGGGCGAAGGTGTGACTCGCGACGACGCAGAATCATTCGAAATCAAAAGCAGCGCGTATGCAGCGAGTTCGGATGCTTCGAGTCGGAAGCCGTTGATCAGCGACGAACGCGAAGAAACGTTCGCGAAGTTAACGAAACGAAACCCTTTCGAGAAAGTAGAATTGCAAACCGACATCGAATCCGACTGGAACACAAAGATCAGTCGCGATACGATGTCACAGGCTGAATCGGTGCTGGCTGAAACAAACTTGGAGGATTTGAACAAAGATGTAGTGGATCGTTCGGACGTGGAAGAATTTTCAGTGCTCACGGACTCGTCCGCGCAGAACTGGGAGTTACAGGACGAGTCCTCGAACGTGGAAATTGTACGAAACGAGAAGACACCGTCGTCGTTGCAAATTGAAACGAGCGTGGAGAACAATGGAGAGATCCCCCCTCTGCAAAGCAGATCAGACTTCGAAACATCATCATCCACAGATCAGTCGTTGACTTTGGATTTAAAAGCGCGCGACGAGACTACGTTTTTTCTCGGGGAACCTGACGAGAAGAGGGGGGAGGAGGCGACGACTAATACTGCGAAGTATACTGCGTTTAATCGGGAAAGTTCTACGTCCTCCGTTGTCGTTGGCGAGGCGAAGGGAAACGCAAAGGAGAAAGGAAATGCCGAGGAAGCTGAGACTCCGAGAGCGGAAAGTTCAAGTACGACAGTTACCAAGGCGGTTTCCTCTTTATCAGAGGAAACTATCGGGCAAGAATCTGAAAACAATTACGATAACGGTAACGTTGTCGCAGCGAACTCGAAACGGGAGGCCAAACTCCAAGAGGCGCAACTTCCCCGTGAAAAAGCCGAGGTCGCGAGCCTGCTCGCTCAGCCATCCGGCCAGAGTAAGAGGAGATTAAACGTTTCGAAGCCTCGGGCGTCGAAGAGAGTGGAAACACTCAAGGCGCTGAAAGATCTGTTCCTCAAATTAAAAGAAGAAACGCGCGGCTCCAAGTCGGCCGCAAAGTGGAGATCGCAGATCAACAAGCAGAGGAACGAACCGAGGCAGATTAAACAATTGCGGAAGAAATTACGCGATAAGAGGCAGATGATACTGCGGAAATGCGAGAGAGGCATTCGCGGTATGATAGATAATATGGAGCAAGACGCGGAGGGAAGAAAGTTAAAAAGAAGGGAAGCCTGGGAGAGGATCAGAGACAGCGAAGATTTTCGAGATATGATTGATCGCGAGAAACTGGCTTACGTATTGATGTATCAGCCGGCCAAGTACAATTCGAAAAGGGAGGTCAGCTCGAGCGAAGTAGCCGAGAGGATAGAAGTAATACCGGAAGTGACCGAGATCGTCCGAGCGAGAAACGTTAGACAGAGAGTTTTTAATCCGAGCAATCAGAGAAACTTCCAAGATACCACGCTCGTGGAACATCCCGATCCTGCCAAATTAAGAAAGAAGATTATACAACTGGCCAATTTGCGTCGGGATGAAAAGTCAAGTAGAGGGAAACCTGACGAAAGCAAGGAGAACAACGACAAGGTATATCTCGCTGTGGTGGAGGACATCAAGAGACCGCGAATATTTCATTACGAGGAAGATCCGGAAAACGAAGAGGAGGAAGGAGATACGCAGGTAATTAATTTCATTGTCATTTTCTTTCGTTTAAGATTCGTCCTCGTTTAAGAAACTCCTCGTTCAATTAATCGTTCACTTTTTCGTTTAATTAACAGGCTCAACCGCCGCCACGCTCTCCCTATAACAGTAAGTACAATCGGCCGCTACAGAAGCCTTATCGCGAAAGTCTTAAAGCCGCTCAATATTCCGAGGAAGAGGATCAGGAAGAATCAGATGAACTCCCCGAGGGCAAAGAAATATACATAATCGATCCGTCCGAGTACAAAGGAGGGGACCCACCGATCCAATTGTACGGAACTCCGTCGAAATCGAGGATTAATTTCAAGAAAATAATCAGCTGGAAACCTTCGAGTTCGAGCCACAAGTCCTACGAAACTCGTCAACCGAACCGGAAGCACGACGAAATTCCGGACGACAATTCTCCAGACGCAATCGCCGACGAAATTATCAGAACTATATTCGACAACGTCGACTCTCGGGTCCAAGAGTTTTTTAAAATATCGGCGAAAGAGGGAGACCCGGAAAATTTCCAAGAGGAAGATACAAATGAATACGAAGAGGAATACGAAGAAAATTGCGAGACGAGTGCGTCTTCGGAGAAGACTGGCGCGCAAGGCGTGAGATATCTGAGAGAGAGTGATCGAGATGTCTCGGAGGGAGAAACGCAAACTGAAGATGTTTCTGACGCGTTAATTCCTCGAGAAACTACCATTTCGAGCGTTAATATTTCTGTGGAAGATTCGAAAGATGAAGACGCTGCGCGTGTTCGAGAACGAAGAGACGCGAACAGTGGATCGAAAGAATATTTTACGTCCATGCCCGTGACTTTGATGCGCAAAGTATCGGACGTAAGCCGGAAAAGTGAATCAAATAACTATTTACATCTGAAGCAGAGTTCAGAGAACATCTCCCGTGAAAATCCATCCAGATCGAAAATTGAAAAGGCAAAAGACTATCTCGAGCTGGTTCTTCCTAAAAAGTTCTACGGTAAAACATTGGCGAGCATGAAGAAACAAATTTGTTTGACGAAAAAGAGCGGCAACGACAAATCTAAAAAATACGAAAATTTCCCCAAAAATCTGAGAATTCTAAGTTCCTTGACATCGAAGTCATGTGATCCCTTTGGTAAGAAAGACTCTGTTGAATACACGTCGATCGAGGTGAATCCGATTGTTGGAGCAAGAGATCTGTATAGAAAAATTTCCAAAGACTACCAAGGTGCGTCGGACTCTGTGGAAAAAGATCCAAAATTGGATAAACGTAAGGAACGTTCAGACGATGCCTCGTACGGTGATGAGAACGTTTCCAACATGCAAGAACTTCGTAACGAAGAGAAAGATAGAGATAATAAAGAAGTGAATTTAGAGAAAGCATCGTTTTCTAATATACTTGAAACATTGAGGGTGTTGCCATGGATAAAAAAGTCTAACAGACTCCGAAGAGAAGCGATAGATCAAGAGACCAACGAAAATAATAACGCGGAGAAGGTGAGCTTTAATTCTACAATAAAACAATAGAATGAATAATTACATCTCTGTTGTTCTCTACTGCTATTTTTTCTTACACTTTGTCAAAAATGATAAATGGACTCTATCGTAAGGATTCATTTAAACTGTCGCTGTATGCGATGCGTATATCCTATTAAAAAAATTCAATTCATAGATATTCCAAGGCTTTTGTGAAAGATCGAATATGTTTCAATGCGATTGTATCACATAACTCTGTACTGAAATTCCCATGAAATTCGAATGATTCTGTTTCAAGGTACAGCCGTCTGAATTGCAACATCTTGATTCAGATGGATCTTCCAGCCCAAGGAACCCGATATCTAGTCAGATCGATGACGTCGAGAAATCGCTGATTCAGAAGATACCACTTGAAAAATTCTCGACTTCGAGGAGGAATGCCAACAATAGAAAGAACATCAAGAGAAACAACGATGATGGATTGTCGTCTCTTTTGAAGAAAAGCATACCAAAGTTAGGGAACGTCGTGGTGAACGGACTGAATAAAGCGGAGAATTTTACTGGATCGGTGGAACAGTTAATTATGAATCTGGATGAGAAGTATAACAAAACTTTAAAAGAGGAGCAACGAAGAGATTCCACGAGCACTAGGTCAATTGGTCCTACTCAGAGTGTTCTTCACAATGCGGTGGCGAATGTGAAGAAGATTTTCATACTACTTAGCGGGATCACTAATCTTCTTCAGGGTAATCAACAATAATGAACTTTGCCCTTTTGTTCTTCTTTTTTTTTTCATTTTCTATGCTATTTTTTTTTTGTAATACCGTTTTTAATTTTGTAAGATTTTAATATCTTTCGAGCAAATAAAGATTATCGTAAAGTATGTTCGATTTTAATGAATGAACTTGATCCTCCTGACCAGACATAAATGGAATAAATACATACTGATGCAACGTGTAATCCAGTTTCTTTTAAAAATG